TCCTATATGAAGATAATGCTGCATGCGTTGCCCAAACGAAGGAAGGATATATCAAAAGTGATAGAACCAAACATATCCCTCCGAAATTCTTTTCATACACCCAAGAACTAGAGAAGAATAAAGATATTGAAGTCAAATATGTTCGATCATGTGACAATGCTGCAGATCTCTTCACAAAATCACTACCTACCTCGGTGTTCAAGAAGCATGTCTATGCTATTGGAATGCGCCACCAACGAGATCTGTAAAGTTGATCACTCGAGGGGGAGACTACGTCGTTGTACTCTTTTTACCTACTAAGGTTTTTCCCACTGGGTTTACTTAGAAAGGTTTTTAACGAGACAACAGAAGACATTACACAAGACAATAGTGACACTGGTCTCCAAGGGGGAGTGTTACAAATGTCAAAGAAGTCAGGCAGCCACAATCAAAGAAGTCAGGCAGCCGCAATTGTTTACGTAAAATGTGTGGAGCCCACCGTCACTATGCGTGCATAGTAACTTATCTTTTTCTCTATAAATAGAACGTTAAACGTTCATTGTAAAATTACAATTGATACTTCAACAATAAAAAGTTATAAGAAATCTCTCTCCTTCTCTCATCTTTTTATTTTCAGTGTCCCGATCCTTCTGAAGGTATAAATTCTTTTTCTATTATTTATATTTATATACACCATAAAATAAAGTAATTATTATAACAATATTATATATATATATATATATATATTGCAAATAAAGGAATAATTGATTTTTCTTTTTTCTAAAATAAATTTCTACTCCTAGAAATAATGTCAAACCCCGGAAAGAGACTGGGATAGTATTGAGAAAAGGAAAGAGGCCCCCACAACCTCAGAAATTATTGTAACCGACCCTACCCATTTTATGCAGCCTAAAATTACTGCAATTTTTTTTTGAAAATCTAGCTAGAATATGTAAAACTTGTGTGTTTTAGTTGACAAAAAAGAAAAAAAAAATTGTGTGTTTCCTAAAAATATAATGATAATTTTTGTAATGTGTAATATACTAATATGATATCAAGAATAATAAAAAGTATATATTGTGAATGGTCTCATAAAGGATTACAATGTCCCACAACAATGATTGTGATTGCATTTACATATTGGTTTGGTTTAACCGTTTTAAAGCACAACAACATCTTTACGGAAACAAAGTTAGGTCCATATAAAAAGTTGGTCTCGGCTTCGACTAAAATAAAGCAAACACAAGCTTTGATTTTTCAAAAAACAAAACTTCATCTTTCCATTTCAAAAGTCTAACAGAACATTACATTATGTCTTTATCGAACAAACCAATTTTTTTTCTATTTAGTTTGATTTAGTTTTAAATAAGAGAACTCCTCCATATATATTATACAACCATGGAACATAAGTTAAAAAAAAAAAAATTTTGATACATAATTTTAATGCAAGATTGGATCAGTTTTCTATTTGGTTTTTCTTTTACTGATTTTTGTAATCTGAATTCAAGTTTTGGATCTTCTACATTATAGCTACACTATTTATTTATCTGTAGCCAAATCACACACGAAAATATTTATTTCACTGACATAAATAATTATATCAAGACTACAGAAAATAAATATATACAGTAATTAAAAGAAAAGTAAATACAAAAGAGAATATTACACTGTTCAAGTGGACAGCTTCTTGCACTCCAAGATGCCACAGACTTCTTCTTTCTTCTGGGAATGCTATCGTCATCGGAAAATAATTAAAAATAAATTCTGATAAACTACTTTATCCTTATTATTTTTTTAATTACTGACTTCCATAAAATACATTGTGGTAAATTGCTTGTAGTGATTTATGAAAAAGTTAAAGTTGTCATAAATCTTCTGTTCCTTTTGCGCCAACATATTTTTAAACAGAGTCGCAGTAAAAAAAAAGTTATAAACAATTTTCAAGAAAGTAATAACTGAAACATTAATTGCACATTCTCAGAATTGCTACAAGAATTTTACCAAGATAAGACTAGTATCCGGTAATAACATGTCTCTGTTACTTTTACTGTTTTACATAGGGTCCGAATGGTAACTGCGTTTTGCGGTACGGGAGAAGTGCGGTATTATAGTGCGGTACGGTTCAACTGTGGGATGTGCGGTATGCGGAACAAATGCGGTTTTTAGAAATAAGCGGTATAGCATAATGTTTGATTGGTAAAAAAAAACGCGGTGCGGAATACAAATTATAGTTAAATAATTTTTAAAAGTATATTAATAATATTAATATAATTATAAATTAAACATTTATATATATATATATATATATTAGTATCATCATAAATTAAACATTTATATATATATATATATAAATATATTTTTTTTGGTAATTAAACATTTATATATATATATTAGTATAATCATAAATTAAACATTCACATAAATTAAACATTCAGTTTCTTTTTGGTAGGATAAATTAAAAATTCTTAATCATAAATTTAAAAGCTTTCAATTTAATTTGCTGAAAAAGAAAACACAATTTAATGTGTCTCTTAACGTTCTTGATTATCCCTTCTATTTAATGTGTTTAATTAATGAGTTATTTTGTGTTATAATTTTCCTTAATAAGCGTGCTTTTAGCCCAAAAATTCTATATTTTGGAACAGAGGGAGTATTAGAGAAGGAGAATATTTTTTCCTACCAAACAAAAAGAAGGAGAATGACTTTCATAATAATTTTATAACTTCAAAAAATTTTTTTTTGATAATCACGATGAGAGTGTGTGTTTTATTTTTCATTCGTATTATTGATGTTATACCTTCTGACTTTGACTCACAAGTTAATAAAGTTACCTAAGACATTTCTCATCAAACACAAAAGCAATGTTTGTGTTAAAAAAAAAAACAAAAAAAAATGTATTATTTTGTTAGGTGCGGTTTTTGATAAAACCGCTGGGTAAAGCCTTCTTTTTATTTCTAACAGCGGTCCACTGTATTACCCGTTGGACAAAACCGCAAATTCCTCTTTTTTTTTTTTTTTCTTAAAACGCAAATCTGTCAGAAAAAGTGTGATTGGTGAGTATACTGCGGTTTTGTGAAAAAAATTAGAAAAACGCCTTTTTTGTGTTCACCATTCGGACCCATAGCAAACATTAGTAACTAAAAGTAAATAATAACCTCTTGAAAATTGGGTAAACAAAAAAAGTAAGAGGTCAAAAAAGAAGAAAAATAGTCTAATGCTATTTTTTTAATATGCTTTTCTCTCGATTTTTTTTTTGTTTTTCAACTTTTCGAAGATTTATTTTTAACTTTTTAACTCGAAAATTAGCAAAATTAGCAAAATTCTTTTTCTTTTACGGATTTTCTTTGAACAGTAAAGCTAATCCCGTGACGACCTTTGCTTCTCTCTTAACCGGTTCTGCCACGTCATCATCATCTTTACCACCAGACGTAATCGAAGAAGACGACTTCAACGGCGGCGACAAGAATTTCTCCTCAAAAATCAGCTCCGGTTCAGCTACGGCGGTCGCGGTTATAGTAACCATCGGCTTTTTACCGGAGTCTCGAGTATATGAAGAAAGCCATTTAGCTCTCATGTAATCAGCTTTTCTCCATGGCGGGAAATGCATATCTTTTTTCTTCAAGCTCTGTTTCGCCGCTTCAGAAACCATAGAAACAATCTGACGAATCCGATCAGATTTTCCGACGAAAATCAACGGTAGAGATTGAAGCAACTCCTTGTAACAACTCGTTTGCCTTGCGATCTCAAACTCCGATCTAAAATCAACGTCGATTAAAAACCTTTCTCCGTTCACAATCACATCTATGTACTCATACTCACCTGAAAAATCATCAAAAATTAAATTACACGAAAAATCACAAAAATCAAAGGTAGAAGACGAAAAAACCGGTTAAGGAGATTGTACCGGCCGGTATAGAGCGAGATTTATCCCATTTCGATTTACAAATTGAAGAATCGTAACCGAGAAATAAGAGTTCATCAACAACAATCTTTCTCAATTCGTCTTTTCTTTTAACTGATTTGTTCTTCTCTATAATCTTCGAAGCTTCCACTAACAGATTCTTCTCAACGAAGCTTCCACATTGAATCAAACTCTGTAATCAAAAGATTTTAGATTGTTGCAGAGATTTAAAACAAAGAGAATTTTTTTTTTTTTTGTTACCTTGAAATGGTCATAATCGAAGATATCGAGTTCATCGTCGGAGATATCATTGTTCACGTTAAAACAATTACAACGATGATTATTACGACCACCATTCTTTGTTTGCTTGTCGTTGTTTTCTTCCATATAGTTTTGTACCATTTTCGCTAAGCTTGGCTCGAACTCTGTTCCGGCGACGACTCCATCTCCAGCGATGAGTGATTTCTCTGAGTTTGAGATTCTCGTGAACGGTCGATCTAATAGACGTTTGAGACGAGACTTAAGCACTGGTTTAGTTGATGATTCCACTCTATTCGCCGGAAAATCGTTGTTAATCGGCTGGATTTTCATCATCGGAAACAGAAACAGAACAAAATCGTCGGAAAAAAAAATCTAAGAGACGGATCGGAGTTTCTTAACGGTGACGATTTTCACGGAAAACATGACGGCGATTGTCGGAAACAGTGTTACTAGACACGGTAACTGAAGAGAAAGTCACCGGAATATTCATTTTTCCGGCGATTGAGTAATCTAAGAGTTAATTTTTTTTTTGATAAGAATTTAATTTTTTTTTTTTTCTGGTTTAAGGAAAAAGTGAGATTGGTTGATTTTATAGGTGCAGTGATAGCTGAAGCTGAAGAGGTTAAAGAAGAAGCTGACTAGACACGATGATGCCACGTCATATAGTTATTACGTGATAATATTTTTTGGTTTGTCAAAGTAATTACGGGGTAGATTAAATTACCGTTTAACCCTCTTTAGTGGGACGGTGTGGTTTTTTTTCTTTTTTGGTTATCATTACGTTTTCAATTTTGTTTTATTTTTTTATGATCATAGTAGTAATTGTGGTAAATTCTTTTTATGGAAAAGAACTGTCAGTGAAAATTGTAATAATGAAATATTATTACGGTTTTGTCCTCTCTCCACAGCTTCCACTACTGTGGCGTGGAAGATCGGTCAAATCTCTTTCTCAGTCATCATCGGGATTTTCGGAATTATTTATTTTTGTTTTCATTGAGTTGATGTAACTTATAAAAAGTTTTAAATAATATAGTCACAACTATTTTTCGCAACCTAATTTCCGCCGCTCGTCAACTTCTCCGTCTTGCCAAGTTCTGACCGGCGCGTGGCGGCTCCTTTAGCGCCGGCGTCGGTCTCCTCCCCTTTTTCTTTCCTTGTATGTGCTTTCGTCGGATGGGGAAGCGTGGTGGTTCGACGAGTATTTTTTGATGCCTTCTTGGTTTCAAATCTGCAAAATTTTGGTGGGGGAGCTCTTAATTGATGGATTCGAAGGTTATCGGAGTTGTGAGTCGCTTCTCTGAGTGGTGTCTTGGAGCTTTTATGGTGGATCTACCGGATCCTTTGCTACTGTGGTTGTTGATGGTCATCCTCGACGGTACGGTTCTTCCCCTCCCAGATCGGATTTGAACTTAGGTGGCTCAGTCTCGTTGTGTCATTGATCTTCTCCTAGTTTTCGTGTTTGTTTGTGAGACTTGTTTCGATGGTGGTGACTCTGTTTGTGGAGTTATTCATTAGATCTTTGCTCTACCTCTCTATTGCTTCCTTTTACTTGTCTGTGGTTGCAGTTTGGTCTGGTTTCGTTCTTGGTGTTGGCCAATTTGATGGTATTTTGTTGCTGAGCTACCTACTAGCCTATCTTCCTTGGAGTTAGGTTCTAGGCGAAGCAATGGATTCGTTCTCTAGTTCTTCTCTTGCGAGGACGTCATCAGCTTTTTGTCTTTAGGTGTGCTGAAGCTGCATTCGACGAGTGTCCGCGTGTAAGAACTGTTGATCTTATTTGGCTTTTCTCTTGTCGATTTTCAAGGTTTTTGCCTTGTCCCTAGTGCATTTTGCTATCTCGGTCCGGTTGGTGAGGTGTGATGGTGCTTGTATTTGTGTCTCTCGTATCGGCGACTTCTTGCTTTCCTCCCTGTCGGTTTGCTACTGATTTGATTTCGGTGTGAGGTCTATCCGATCTTATTGGTGCTTCCGGCGTTCACAGTTTCTTTGGGGAAGCTTGGTGAGAGTTTCTGGTTCCTTTGCGCAATTTTAGTGCTTAGGTCTTTTTTCTTAACAAATGATCTTCTTTAGATATATTGTCTCTTCTTTTGTTTTCATTGTTGGTCTAAGGGCTTGATTGGTTCTCCCGCTAGCACCCTCCTAGCGGTTACTAGCGGTCGGTTGCGGTTGTTAGCGGTTGGTACCAATCATAGAAACCGCTCCGTACCGCTTCGAACCGCTCGAAATCGCTAAATTTCAAAAGCTCCTTCCCGCAAGCGTTTGCGGTTGCGGTTGTAAAAAAAAAAAAAAAAAAATCAAACGTTTACTTATAATTATTATAATATATATTAATCATATATAAATCTTTCATCTTTGTATCACGTTCTCATCAGAAACCCTAATAATATTCTGAAACCCTATTTTTCTTAATGTCTTCCATCCAAACTGATGAAAATCAATAACCAAACGCAAGTATCATATATCTTTTTATTCATTCATCACCTCATTTGTAACTTTTTGAATATTTTTCATGGCATCGTTTTTTTTCTTTTCATTACGTATTGCTTTACTTTTTGATTGAATATATGTTTCGATTTGTTTTCTCGAATAGAAACTCACTTGCTTTTTGATTGAATTCAACGTTATTTACAATTTGTCCCATTACTTGATGTTAAACCAGATGCATAAAGTACTATCTTGTTACAAAATTTATTTATTTTTTAATAATTATTTAGTACTTTATTTATGGTTTTAATTATTAAGCATGTTCAATTTTTCTAATATTATCATAATAATATATTGGTGTTTTTTTTTTTTTGTAATATTTTTTATTTATTTTGGTCATTTTTTTATTTAACTGCTACCGCACCCGCTGGTTTACCAGTCATAAAACTCCCGCAAACGCACCCATTTTCAAACGCTAAACCAGTCGTTCAAAACGCTTGATAACGCTTGAAGCCGCAACCGTCTGCTTCCGCAAACTCCCGCAACCGCAACCGCAACCGCTGCGTTTAAACCAGTCAGGCCCTAAATAGTTTCCCCGTTCTGTTGGGGCTTTGTTTCCCTTTTTTGGGCTTAGTTTCTGGGGACATTTCGTTAGTCCGCCGGCGTTTGTATTTCAACTGGTATTCTACCTTGGTTCTTAATAAAATTCAGACGAAAAAAAAAAAAAAAAGTCACAGCTATTTTTCGCAGGAAAATTAGATGATGTTTTGGTAATAAGAGTGGACCACGTAGCGGGGAAGTTGATCTTTTTACTCCATTGTTCTTGAATTGCAATTGAATTTGCTTTTTAGTTGTTGGACGATCCATTAGTGTTAATTAATTTTTCTTTAAATGATTATTTGTTTATGAAATAAAATAAAATGAAGTTGTCTACTCCAACGAATCCAACGATGTCATGGTCACATCCTCCGGTCAAAGAAAGTTCCATATACAAACAAACCAAATTCATGGTGGATGGATTAGTCGAGATCACAATGGAATCATAAGAGCTTGGGGATCTTCCCAATAATATGTGACTGTCATATGATCACCATTAGATGCATAATCGAAAGCTCTGCTCTCATCAATGCAACAGACTTGGAGTCGGAGCTTCACCAACGTTTATTTTGAAGGAGATTGCGAAATCCTAATAAACAACATCAACAATGGCTTATTCGATGCTTCTCTCAAAGGACTCTTTCTCGACATTAAATTTTGAGCAACAAAGTTTAAAGAAGTCTATTTCGTTTGTATAAACCGTCGTTGTAATAAAATATTGTAGTTCATAATCTTGCTCAATACTAGTCTAAGGTCCCGCTTTTATTCTAAGAATGCTAATCCTCCTTCAATTAATACAAAAGAAAATGAAGTATTAAACTGTCAAACGTAAGATGAAGAGTTAAACTTAGATATTATTAAATAGAGTAAAATCTTAGAAATACTTGACTAGAATAATTTTTGGAAAGACAAATCACTATCATTCGATAATAAAGGTGGCTTTTAGTAGATTCGGTTTGGTTGGGGATTTAAAAAACTTAGAAGCTGAATATAATTCTACTGAATTTAACCTAATTAAAATTTTGATTTAGTTCATACATCTTAAAATTCGATTTGGGTCTGCTAAATAATTGTTGCCGAATAGTAGACATTGAAATGCTGAAACGTCCGATTGATTTTATCTTCAAACATTCAACTTGACTACTAACGGGCCGGGCACTAACAATAACTAAATCGTTTGCAAAAACCGGGCCATAAGAGATTGACCGTTTTGGTGACTTTGTTCTATTCATTTGGTGACTTTGTTCTATTCATTTAACCGGGACCCTAAAGATTAAAGGATTTACAAAAAAAAAAAAAAAAGTAAAAAGTAACAAAGGAAAAATTGTTGCATAAAAACAAAAGGTAAAGAATAAAAAAAAAATGGTTTTAAATAGAAGTTTTAAGAAGAAGAGGAGTCTTCGTTTCGTTTTATATTTATGTCCGTAATTAACCATGCATGCTCGTGAATTTAAAGAGATAGTCAAACGCTGGGAAAATGTTTTTTTTTTGTTTTTACCCCAATAATTTGCAAAGTGCATTTTTCAATCTATATAAATACGTAGTGCTAATTTTAACTCAAATTATCAAAAAAAAAATCAAATTATATACTCAAACTTTCATGCATAATCCACAGTTTTTATTAACAATTGTTAGTCAACTGTTACAGATGCTGAGTCATCTCACACGTATACGATAAAATAATATTGAAATGACGTCGTTTTGCTGCTTCGAGTTTAATTTTTCAAAAAATTTGGTAAATTTATAGATGTATTTATTTTTCAAAGCAGCAAAACGGCATCGTAAGAAAAAAAGTTTTTTAGTACAGTGGTAAAAAGAATTTTAATAAAAAAAATAAGCGTTAAAATATATAAACTTATTTAAGACCAAAATCCATATTTGGTCCGCTTAACCTCAAAGCTAGTTCGTTCTCATGTTTCCGAGACTCTAACAGTTCTTTCTTTGATATAAGTCCATATACTTTCAAACGGTCTATCTCCACATTATAAAGACAACATAATACAGACACTCAATTTTTTGCATGAGCAATGTATATATTTTCAACCTATAACGTAAAAGTTGGTGATCAAATTTCTACGCTTTAGTTAGGCTCCGAATAAAAAAAAGGCGAATCGGACGAAGCCGAAAAGTACATGCATATTAAATATAATTACTATATAAATTTATCTTTTATGTTTTTTGGAAAATTAATAAAAAATTTCTAAATCTAATAATAATAACAATCTGAATAAATGCTTTTTACATGCACTTCAACGGTCGCGACTTTTGATCGTAACTCTTCAAAATATATTTTATTTTATTTTGGTTATTAAAATTTTAAATAAATTTCTGTAACCGCTTGGTTGAACTATTGCAACATTTGGTTTACTTACAAACCATTGTAATTTTATGTTTATTTTATGAATCAATGTAACCTTTAATTTATTTGAAATACCGTTGTAACATATGATATATTTAATATCTACAAATGCGTTTCTCGGTATAACTCTTCATAAAATATTTATTTAATTTATTTAAATGATTTTTTGCAAACCGTTTAATTGAAATGTTGTAATAATAATTTATTGGGCTATATTAATATATATACATGGAAGAATAGTTTATTAGTTTTGTAGCATTAATAATTTGAAAATTAAGTAACTAGGAAAGAGAAAACAAAAATAAACCAAAAATATCCTTTTCATCTAGTTTAATTACACAAAATGCCATTGATATCATAAATTCTTTTCCGATGTAATATACCCGGTGACACTGTTCATAACTGCTCGCTGACACTGTTCATACAAAATCATCAACACTATTCATCAGATGATACAGTTAAACATTTATAATTTTAGTGTGTAACTATTTGGTTAACATGCTAAGACATATGGTATCACGATAAGTTTACATATTATGTGTTAAATGCATGTTTATCGATTTAAATTTGTGAATCAATGTTTTTTTTATTTATGTATATATCAGTTAATAAAAAAAGACTAAGTCTTCTTCTTACATAATTAAGATGATAGCAATTATAATAGTATGTAAATATTACATAGGATGATAACGTGCTAATATATTAAATATCCGAATAATATTTATATTAACATAGTAAGATAGTCGATATATGGATAATATTTATATTAACGTGTAAGTCATATATAATATTTACCAATAACAATTGATAACCAGATTAACGTGATAACAACGGAAATAACCAACAACAAAAATAACAAGTTTTCTCACTTGATAAAAAACTTACAGAAACAATTACAGTGGCAATTTTTCACCGTCGCAGATGCCAAATATGGAGGATTCGATTTTGCCGACCAAGAAAATTTGCGTGGCCACTATCGATCTGGTTTTGACGATACTTTGCGAGCAATTTCGAGAGACGCCGGAGAAATTGCATCAGAATTTGATGGAGAGAGAGACATATCAGAAATTTCAGGAATTGTGGATCTCAAATCCATATGAGGCGTCAGAAATCAGTGCATAAGAGTTGGTACTGTGGCTTGCCAGAGATGGAACAAGTTTAATGATGGTGTTCGTGACGGGCTATGCGTCGGAGCTGTCCAGAATTGAAGGAGGAAGCGACGGAGGAGAGAGGTTTCACAAATAATCACACAATTATTAAGGAAGGTTAGTTTTGTCAATTTGCGCCAGCACAGTAAAATACAACAGTGCATAAATGTGTCAGTTAATTTCTCAATCCTCTGAGTATAGATTGTGCAATTTCCCTAATTTATTTGATAAAAAGAATATGAGTATATCTATACATGTAGTTTTTAATTTGCATATTGCAAAAAAAAAAAAAAAAAAAAAAAAAACCACACATGGAATACATCAGAATTGTTGTGTACCAAATTCCATCTTCGTACCAAAATTTTGATCATGAAACAAACTTAAGATGATTCACTATTTTTTATCGTTATAAAATAAATAGACACAATAGTTTTATTATTCCGTTGAATAAAACAAAGTGGTCGAAACCACAAAATATAAACACACTTTCTTTTTCATGACCTCTTTAGTAACTATTCTTGTTTCAATCGGTCAATGGACCCATTAACAAAACATATTGATTAAAACTCATTTGTACTCAAGGATATGTTTATAGAACTTCAGTGGGTTACTGGGTTACAAGAGACAATGTCGAAACTAAAAAACTTTGGTGAAATAGAAACAGAGGAGATGGAATGTACAAACAGTACATGAGATAGTCGGTGGTGAGGGGGAAAAAAATCCAAATGTTGTTTTGATATGAATCCGGTAGTCGTTTTTTGCATATCTTGCAGGGACATGAGGTATGATGTTGGATTCTTTAAGCTGTCAAAACTAAGATATGATGTTGGTAATATTAATATAAAATCAAAATAATTCAATGAAACTTCACATTATCTTCTTTCCGCTACTTAACACATAAGTGACATTAAACTTCATATTATCTTCTTATTTGCGTTTCCTAATCTATCTACAAAAGTAGGACATTCTTCCGTGACAAGTAAGAGCATCATTATAGGTAGTTTCTTAGAGATAGATCTTAGCAATATTTAAATAATTTATTTGTAAAAGTGATTTTTAAGAGATAGTATTTTTGAGTTAAGATTTTTGTGTGATTAATGGTAGGCTCTTAACATGTGGTTCTTAGAAAAAAAATATTAATATAAAAATAAAATTTATAATTATAGAAAATTTAATAATTGTTGCAAATTAAAAAAATTAAAACATACATGAGATACAAAATTTGAAATGTTTTGGTCACTAAAATTTTTAAGTGTTTTGATGTGTTTTGGTTCATAATTATCGTGTTTTGGTTTAAAAAATTATGTGTTTTGGTTAAGTGTTTTGGTTATTATGTGTTTTGATTGAATATATGTGTGTTTGGTTTTTGTGTTTTGATTTTGTGGAGAAAAGAAAGATATGGTTTTGGTTCATTTGTTTTGGTTTTGTGGAGAAAAAAAGATATAGTTCTGGTTTATGTATTTTGGTTTTTTGGAGAAGAAGAAGATTAGTGTTTTTTTGACTAAAATGTAGAGTTACCGATTTGTATATTTACCAACATGTGAATGTGTCACGAGATTTCAAAACATGAAGACTATAATTGAACTTGTCTTTTTGGTCTACACATAAACTAGTTTTTGGATTAAAAAGGGATTCAAATAGGGGATATAAATAGACAATGTGTGCATTAGTGTATTGCCTATACATCAACTATCTTTTTCACAACCACCATCAATCATTTCTAACCCAAAAGTCCATAACCCAAAAGCAAAACTGAGGTTGTGCTAGCTATCACTTGTAGTGATCTGGATATCAATCTGCTGTGTGGTTCTTGATCATCTTACACAAGAAGTATTAAAATCTTAAGCCAAGGCGATGAGTTAATATCTGACTTACAGGCAAGTCATGAACAAACCAGCAGCTAAACCGAGTGCCAAACCGATAACTAACTCCTTGACAACGCTAGCATGTGCAACCTTGTGTTCTGCCATCTCTTCTTTCTTCTTCTCAACCTACCAAAATGTAACAGCATAACCCCAAAGAGCAAACATGAATCAGTAATGCCCTACCTACATTCTTCACTACACAAAATGACGTAGCGGAAGCTTCTAGGGATAGATTACGAAAGTAATCTTGAGTATCAATGGATCTCAAGCAGGACAATCGTAGCTCGGAATTCTATTGTTATCGGAGATCAATGGATTCACGATAAACAAATACTTCAAAGACTTCGTTTGAGAATACTCTTCTCAGTGCTTATCAAAAGCTCTTTAATTTTATTAATCAAAAACAACCATCGAATACAAGAAGCCTAAGAGGCTATTTATAATAAAAGCTCAAAACCCTGAAAACCTAAAATATTCTAGAACAATAATTATTAATTAATTAAAATATGATAATAACAGATATTTGGAAATATTCCAAATATCTCGCTGCATCAGGTCTCGCCGGCCAAGAAAAGATTCGTCCTCGAATCTTGTATCTGCGCTGCATCAGCTCCCACCGGCCAAGAAAGATTCGCCCTCGAATCTTCAATAGGGTTTTCAGCAAAGGAGATCTTCGAAGATCCATCTTCATCTCCGTATCTTGATTCTGCCCGATTTTTGCACGAACCATATCTGACCCGATATTTGCACGACTTGTATCTTGTCCGAAATTCGCACGAATTTCTTCTTTTACAAATATTGCACCAATCGGATATTGTATGAAATTTGCACATATCGGACTTTCCATAATTTCTGCAGAAAACACGAATTTTGCACAAGTCTGATCTATCATGATTTCTGCAGGAAACCCTAATTTTGCACAGATTTGATTTCGCCCAGATTTTGCACGAGTCAGATTCTCGAAAGCATCTTCTGGGAAAACGAAATCAATGACTATGACATCATCTTCATAGATATCATAGATGGGATCACCATATATCTCTCTGTAGATCTCATAGTTTTCTTTTCTCTCAACGAACAGACTTTCGCCTGTGATAGGATAGATGCTACCACACCTCATGACAAACAGAATCGAGCTTTGATTAAGAAATCAAAGGACTGTCTCTGATACCAACTGACGTAGCGGAAGCTTCTAGGGATAGATTACGAAAGTAATCTTGAGTATCAATGGATCTCAAGCAGGACAATCGTAGCTCGGAATTCTATTGTTATCGGAGATCAATGGATTCACGATAAACAAAGACTTCAAAGACTTCCTTTGAGAATACTCTTCTCAGTGCTTATCAAAAGCTCTTTAATTTTATTAATCAAAAACAACCATCGAATACAAGAAGCCTAAGAGGCTATTTATAATAAAAGCTCAAAACCCTGAAAACCTAAAATATTCTAGAACAATAATTATTAATTAATTAAAATATGATAATAACAGATATTTGGAAATATTCCAAATATCTCGCTGCATCACAAAAGCTAGAAATGTAACTCACAACCAACTCGTCGTATCGAGAAAATCTGGATCAAGTTTTGATCAAGCATAACCACAAATCAGAAATCACTTTTTAATTAATATCTAGAAGACGAATCGACAAAAACTATAAAATCTAGAAATCAAAAGAAAAAAGAGAGACAAATGAATTTAGGGATTTACCAAGTCGGAGTGTGGAGGGAGATCCGGTGACTTTCTCCCCGATTTCGCAAAACCAACCTCGCTGGTTTGGTGAACCGAAGACGCCGTGAACAACCGGAGTCGGTGGAGATGATGGCCAAACGGAAGAACGACGGCCAGCGGTCGGAGATTCCTCCGATTCAAGTTGAAATTCGCAAATCGCCTTTGGTTTCTTTTCTGTCGCAAATCGCGATTTCAGTGAAAGAGAGAGAAAGGAAAAAATAACACCCAATGATCACGTGCCACGTGGACGTCTCTTAAGCCAACTTTCGTTCCTTAGCTAAAGAACGTTTGTTAGTGTTAAAGGAGAATATTGATTAAATATAATCACTTTTATTCCTAAGATTTTGCTAAGATCTACCTAACATACTCCCTATAATCATGCTCTAACACCCTCTCTCTCTCTTCCAATAATCAATTCTATGAACATATATATATAAATTGATACGGTCATGTTTTATAGCTTAACGAAACAAGCAACCCAACCCAACAACCATCAAATTTCACAATTGACATTTGTCAAAGTCAACTCTAAAACATGCAAATTGATTATCAAAATCATCACGTATATACAATTCATGAAACTTGAGAAGCAATCGTTATTGAATAAACCTCTTGTAGTAAGTAACTTATATAACTTTATCATCGTCGACACTTGACATTTTAAATATCAAGTGCATCCTTTTTGAATTGAAGATATAATATTTTGTTCTTTTGTATGTTTAAGTAAGATACTACTAGCGTAAACATGGCAACAAGATAATGATTTAAATCTCCATACATAATAAGACTTGATGCAACACAGTTTAATTAATGGTTTACCATTTCAAACTTTTAGATCATGAAAGCTACACTTAACATGGTGACTATTCAATAATTTAGATAATTCTCAATATATTATGACCTGAGAGAACACGGTTTTAACAACATTTTACCGTTTCAAACTTATAGATAATGAAAATTACACTGTTGAAGTTTTTCGATTAAAGAATATGAATATACATACATATGGACTTGTTCAAACCGTAATATCATCTATAAATAGAACTCTTTGTCTCATAAGTTTCTCACATTTTCATTGAAACCATAGTCAAGAAATTAACAATAACCTCTTTTTCTTCTTCTAAGAATCGTCTCCATACATATATATGGCGATGAAAAGTCTCTCCTTTCTTGCAGCTCTATCTCTCTTGGCTTTGACATTTCCATTAGTCTTTGCTTCCGATCCAAGCCCCCTTCAAGATTTCTGTGTCGGCGTTAACACACCAGTAGATGGCGGTATGCACATGATGATTTGATTTCCTAACTTCGTCAGTATATTTTTGGGCCTATGCAACATTAATTAATACTCTATATTTTTAAACCATGTCTAGTGTTTGTGAATGGAAAATTCTGCAAGGATCCAAGGATTGTTTCCGCGGATGATTTCTTTTTCTCTGGACTCAACAGAGCTGGAAATACAAATAACGCGGTTGGGTCCAACGTGACAACGGTCAATGTTAACAACCTCGGAGGATTAAACACCCTTGGAATCTCACTAGTTCGTATAGACTATGCACCCAACGGTCAGAACCCACCTCACACCCACCCACGTGCCACCGAGATCTTGGTTGTCCAACAAGGAACTCTACTCGTAGGGTTTATCTCATCAAACCAAGACGGAAACCGTCTTTTCGCTAAAACGCTCAACGTGGGTGATGTATTTGTGTTTCCAGAAGGACTCATCCATTTCCAGTTCAACTTAGGAGGAATTCCAGCGGTAGCAATCGCTTCTTTGAGCAGCCAAAACGCAGGTGTTATCACGATTGCTAACACAATATTTGGGTCTAAACCAGATATAGACCCGAATGTTCTTGCAAGGGCATTCCAAATGGATCCTAATGCGGTCAGGAATTTACAAGCCAGGTTCTAATAATGTAATAAGAAATATAGTCTACGGAATTACTTTATTTTGTGTTTTGCTTCTGAATAATGACTATGTAATTATATTTGTTGGTTGCTTACAAGCATGGTTCATCGTACGTACTGTGACATGTATAATGTTGGTTGTTGTTATATCTTAATTATATTTGGTTAGTGATTATTAATGTTTGTATTTGTATAGAACCATCAAGCATGTTCTGCATAATCTTCATGTTTCCTTAGAAAATAAACAATTCATGTCTTTCAAAATTAAATAAATATAATTATAAATTCATTTTGTAAATAATAAAATCAATATTATAAATTGTTTTTGCACCTAAATAATCCTTTAAAACTACATATACCCTGTGGACTTACCCTTTCTTTCGGGGCCGCAGTGACTTGACCGTTCTGTACTTGGCACAGCCACAATTTATAGACTTGACTTATAGGCCACACTATTAAAAATATTTGGTTGGTTCAGTATGTTTAAGTTGTCTTAGAATATATTGTGTTAGTAATCGTGAAAATAATTATTCAACTAATATAGATTTTGTTTGAAGTTTGATCCATGTTAGCATAATTCATTTCACTATATAGATTTAACATTTGACATTGTATTGTTATATATATATATATATATATATTTTTTTATTTAAATATATATAAAAGTTTAGAAAATCAAAATTTATGTAAAAAGAAACGAAATAGCTCGAGAACAAAGGAGAGTTGTTCTTTATCATAAAATTGAAAAAAATTTGTTTTAAATCTAGAATTAGATGGTGAAATAATTGATTTTACTTCATTATCAACTAGAGAGATTAGATCCTACCAAAAAAAAAAAAAAAAACTAGAGAGATTAGAGTTAAACAGATTAAGAGATTTCCTGCAAGTTGGAGGAAAATGAGAAAATTGTGAAAAATTAATTGTTCTTCCAACGTTATCGATTTAATAACGAACAATTAAACAAAACTCAAAGTGTTTAGCTTTTCAAACATAAATTATGCTAGATTTACAATACTTATATGTAAAAAACATTCAAAACATAAAGAAAACAAGATTATGAGATAACTACTAACGATGGCTGCAAAATTAGGGTTGCAAAAAAGGATTCTTAGGTTGAAGATGACTGTCAAATTACAATTTTGTCCTTCATTGAATATTTTCTGTGTACGTATGCAATTTAAGGTGTACGTAATATTTATTGAATTAGTACATTAGAAATCTTTGGTTATTTTGATTAACATTTCATAACATAGCTTACAAGAATGTTAATGTTATGAAATGTTAACATAATTTATACTCCAACTACCGAGTATGAATAACGATTACATCATTTACAATGATTTGACACTGCTAACTTAGTAAACAAACACTTATGTCTCACCATTCGGACATTAGTTAAATCGTCTAAGACGACTGAAGCTTCATCATTATCGAGTATCTCCGTCTCATAGTTAAAAATGTAGATAAGTCATTATACACTTCGTAAGACTCTTTTTCACGATCTTTGAATACCAAACTCCACACCATTACCATTCACTTCACATATACCATGCTCATCTATATTGTCAAACATTTAACTTTACATATTTTATCAAGTACACAGTCAGTAGTGTACGTACATTCTTACAAATCATATCTTACCTCCCAGTTAGAACTAATAGATAGTTGAATGTCACGATTCTAGTGATATTTTTTCAATTATGTAAACGTTAATTAGGGAATGTACACGTTTGTAATAAACGATTGAATTTTCCTATTGGTCCCACGGTCGGTTGAGTGTCACCAGCGTCTCCGAAATGTCCATATTTCTCAACAACAAAATCAGTCCACTTGTGTAATCGTAATCTTTGCCATTACCTTCATTACTGTCCATAGTCGGTTTTATGATATCCATCGTTTCCTCGTCTTCTTCATCAATATTTTAGCCATCCTCCTTTTCGTCGTTATTATCCTCTTTCTCCTCATCCTCTTTATCGTCCTATACTTCTTCTTCTTCATCTACATCCTCATCATTTTATCCACATTTGAAACCTTAAATATGGTTTTTGTTGTGTTTTCACCCTTGTTTTCGGGTAGTTTTATCACCATGGTCCTCTATCGTGCACATACTATTTACATATTTCTTAACGGTTGGACAAAATGACAAAAACATGTTTACACATCCCCACTACGGATAAAAAAAAATGCATTCAAGCTCATTCGATTGTCAATGTAGACAGAAGGGCATTTATATTAAATCATGATCCACATCATTCTAGGCATCCAGTAACTAATTTTTGGAATAAACTCAGTAGAGTTCAACCTAAACACCTCACATAACGTGCATGACTGACAATGTACGTCATATTTTCTATAACACGTACACACCTACTTAAAAAAAGTTCTCAAGTAAAATTTTTAACTATTCTTCTTTTATGAATCTCTACTCACTAACAATAATAAATACATGAATTTTCATTAACACATGCATCATATATTCAAAAAATACTTTACATTTATATAATTTTTTAAACGTGTACGTACACATAAGCATAATCTTTATTATGTACATATACATACGTACATGATAATTTTAATTTTAAATTTTTTACTAACAACAATTTATAGTAAAACAAAAAAATTATCATTCAAAGTATATAATTTCTTTTTTAGAATATGGATCTTAAACGAAAGAAAAAAATTAATTATAAACTAAAGTACAAAAATAAAAATAGTGAAAATGTGAAAAATGTGGAAAATAAAACATGGTCTTCCGCTTCACCACCATGTAATAAAAAAAACCCATTATATACTTCGTAAGCCTCAACTGTGGTAATTAGCCGATTATCATTTAGTACTCCACTTGCTGAACCTCTAATACCACACTCGAGAACATCATCTCCAGTAACTTCGTCGCTACCATTAATATTGGTATCTGTGTACGTAACAAAATCACCTTCGCATCATGTCTCTTGCACAAAGTCGCTAGTGTACGTACATTGGTACAAACCATGTCGACATGTACGTGTTGGAGTCACGGTTGGTGTACTCTCACCGGAATGAAAAATTTTATCTCTTCCAGGTACACGCTGACTTGTGTACGTACACTCATGTATGTTCAACAGTCTGTTGAGTGTGAATGACATCCTCCTAAACATTCCCAATTCTATATTCTTCTACAATTATATCATTCCACTTGTTGTAATCGTAATCTTCGCCACTACCTTCACTACCGTCTATAATAGTATCGAGGGTACTTTCCCCCATAGTATCGCCATGATGATCATCATACACTTATACACATCATCCTCTTCGTTGTCCTCATCCTCTTCATCCTCATATATTTTATCGTCCTCAACGTCGTCTTGCTCATCTACGGCCTCATTATTTTTATCCACATTTGAAGCCTCTACAATGGTTTTTAGTTTCTCTGCACTTTCCGACACACGGTCACTTTCAGCATCGTGGCCATCAGTCCTAACGACAGTATTCCCGTCTACCTTGACGGTTGTAATAAAAGAGACAAACAAGTTAACACTATGATCCCCACCACGAATCAAAAAGAATGTATTGATTATCAATGTAGACATGAGGGCGTTTACTTTCTATCATCATTGATATCTTTCTCGACATCCAGTAACTAAATATAGGATTGTATTCAGTGGACTTCAAACTGAATTCCTCACATAATGTACGTACAAATTTCGTGTACGACATGTTTTTCTTAACACGTACACACCGACCAAACCTGCCTTCCTCTGGTTCGAATTTCCATTCTTATTCTTTGCATCTCCACTCACATGCATCATAAATTCATTAGAACCCCATAAAAGGCAACTGAAATCATGATTTATATCTACAAAAACAAAAAGAATTTCCAACTACACACTTTAAAAATACTAATACAGTAGAACATATATAAATCAATACTCGATAAATTAATAAACACTATAAATTAATAAAATTGTCCGGTCCCAAGTCGGGCCAATGTAAAATTTGACAAAATTAGATAAGATAGTAAGATAATAATTTTTTTTGAATCTCTATGTAAATATATGGTCCCATTAATATCCTAAATTAATAATTATGTAAATATATATATATATATATATATATATATATATATATATTTACAAGTTGTTATACTAAGGTATGCTTTTACTTTTTTTTTATTAAATGGAATTTTCGTTAGAACATATGTCTAACTTTTATTGAATAAAACAATTGGTATATTGTGATTTTAAATTATAGTGGTGTAGTATACTCTATAATTGTATCATAAAATAGTCAAAATTTTCTGTAAGTTTTTAATTTTTGAATATGCATCATTTTCATTACAATAGTCTTATAGCAGTTAAAATATGATAATTGAGGTCATTAATAATAAATTTGAATTTACGTATATCGTTTGTATAAATAAATTCATCTATAGTCTTTGTAATTTTATTGTCTAATTTATTTTTGAAAAAGTTTTTTGAAACTGTTAAAATTTCAAGTCCAAAACTATAAAATTTATAAATTCATTTCTTTCTAAAATTTTAAGAATTAAAACATATCTCTTTATAATTTAATAAATATTAATTTACAATAAAAATTAATAAATAGATAAATTAATATCATTATAAATTAATAAAATATCATGGTCCCAACCCATGTTTAAAAAATCGCTAGGCGCTAGTCGGGCGGTGAGAGTGGGCCTAGCGCCTAGCAAAAAAATCGGAGATTAAGCAGGGATTAATCGGGGACTAGTTTTAAGGCTATTTAATATTTTAAAAACATATTAATCCATTATAAATAAGAAATTTATGTAATCTTGTTTTTAAAATTGCATTAAACACATGAAAACAAGAATTTAAGGTCAAACTTATGAATTTTATACAAATTATAAACATAAGTGGGACGTTTTAAATTTTAGATCCAAAAAAAATAAAAAATTGGGCTAGGCGCCGTCTAGGCGGACGCCTAGGCGGTCTAGGCGGACAAAAATCGGATCACCGATTTTTTTTACCGATTTAGACAAAATCGCCGCGGTCCCCACCAGATCAGCGCCTAGGCGGCCGATTTTTAGAACAGGGGTCCCAACAATATTAATTTATAGAGGTTTTACTGTATATCCTCATTTAGCATTTGCAACAAAACAAAAAAATAAATAAAATTTTCTAGATTTTTATAATAAAAACAATGTTGTTTTCGTACAGAGTCAAGATCTAAGTGTGTTAT